TCTACATGTCAGAATTAAATCTTTTTAATCAGTAGAAAGTCCCTCTATTCAGCCATTGAAAAGTTAAGCAAAGATTTGTCGAGATTGGATTGATACTATACTTCAATTAAAATTCCTTGGGTATTAGTTGATTCCATTCACCTTAATGGAAACCTGCAAAAATGTTTTGATTCAGTGGCCTTTGTTAACATTTTACAGGAAAGTGAATTTGATAGTTATACCAGGGAGTTATTGTCTTAGTGGTCTTATCCTCCTAATTACATACTGATGCAAAGTATACCGTTGCTGTGTTATCAGGTTTGCACTGGAGCAAAAAGTGAACAGCAATGTAAACTCGCAGCTAGAAAGGTATTGCCTAGCTTTATTTCCTTTCATACATATCAGAGGTGAAAGGTTCAGAAATTGTAAATGTTTTCTACTTTCATTATGCTCTTATATCCAGAAGCTTGGCTTTCCTGCAAAATTCAAACTTTGAACTGAAATAAAACTTTGCTTTTTGGGAACCATGTGATCAAGTTAGATGAGATACCACGTGATGAGGTTACATATAATGAAATACATGATAGTGTACTGATATGAACAGGGCTTTGCGTTTATTGATCAAGTGAAAATGAGATGAATAAGCATCAACCTTGATGAGTCATGATCTTATTAGCAGTTTAAGAAATAAAAGGGAAAAGGAAATTACTATATATATTGACCTTTTTAGAGCGAGTGAAAAAATAGTGCTGATAAAATATACAAACCATATGCCCACCTTTTAGTGCATGTTTGTCATGGTTTACTCAGGCATATGAAAATGAAGATGTGTGTTGCATGTGCAAACTTTATTTGGAAGTATCTTTTTTTGTGTGTGGCCGTGGATTCTAGATAAGCATCACACTGATTCAAAACATTCTTTCAGGTCAAATATTTGACGATGTTTTCTTCTCCCAACCTGGCAAGGTATTGTACTACCTACATGCATCACTAGAAGGTGTGATTTTGCTGTCGATGGTTCTACTTGGTACTGATTGACATACATACATTGTTGGAACGTGAAACATGTAGTCAAGGAACAATCTTTGCAACGAACAAAAGTGCATATATAGAGTGCACCCTTTCCATTCTGGTGCGTTAAATATAGGTTCTTAACAGATGTCTCTTTGTCATAATGTGGATATTTGAACATGCGATGGATGTATGATATATGTGTAAGCTGTGTTCAAATAATACCTCGCTGTCTGGGGATCAGCGCAGGCTCAGGGTTCCTGAAGGGGATCGTCGCCGGATCATGGACGTGACCTCAAAGGGTTCAGCGGCGGATCAGGGGATCGACGTGTGGCTCCAGAAGGGGATCTCCGCCTCCATCCTGAATGTGATCGGTGGTGGGTTCTAAACGGATCGGCGACGTCTCCTCAAGCGGATCTTGATGTGCGAGGGCGGCAACGAAGGGATGGAGAGCGGCCGCGAACGAGGGCAGTGAGTCGGGCGTAGTTAGGCGTGCGAGTGGAGGGCAGGAGAGTCGTGCGTGCGATTGGTTTAGGGTTTTTTTCGCTGGTTAATTTTTGTATGTTTTTTTCGTTGGTTAATTTTCATAGGTTCTTTTTCCTTCGCTTGTAGATGGGTGCGACAGGAGGTGCGGCCCTGTACTGCATGGGGGCATCGGGACGTGTTTTTTTTGGTTTGACGCGGCTAACAGTGAGGTGGGATGAGGGATGAAAAAAAACCATGATAGGTGGGACAAAAATTAACCGCGGAGACTACCAACTGAGACATTAGGAGTAGAGATCCCTACTAAAATGGATAAAATAAAGGACTGATACTACAGATGTAGGCATTCTTCATCTCTACTAAAATATATTCTTCATCATGTGGTTATTCACCTGTAATAAATCACCCCTGCATACCTACCTGCTTTTCTTCTGTCACAACTCACATTCATAAGCAGTCTTACTTCTTAGGCGAGCTCTGTCTTTTACTATTCTCTTTATCTGCATTTTTTCTTGACTCGGCACATTTACTTTTTTCGGTTATACCTTTGTACTACACTGAATCTAGGAAATATAAAGTAGATGAATGATGTGTTTATTCCTGTGTATACTATTTGACCTTCAATTATGTTTGCTTTCAGGAGTAAGAAGTCAGTTGGAGTGAGAAGTGAAACAAGTACCATGAGCTCAAGTGAATCATTCACCAAGCTGGTAAACGCATAAACTTCAAAAAAATCATCTCAATAAGGTATGCAAGTAATTTATTTTGGGTGTTTGAATTGCCACATTTTGGGTTTTGTTTTCTGTCCATTATATATTCTAGGGACAAACTTCATCTCATTTCTTAGACCAAATAATATTTAACTACAGGATCAGATTCGCGTAAAGTAATTTGCAATGTTTATTCGATTTTGTGCATGACAAGGGGCAAGTAGAATTTTTTCTGTATGCACTTAGCAAGATTAAAATAACAGGCACAAAGTGAATCAAGTGTGTTCAACACACAATTTAAAAGTGAAAGTAGATACACAGCTTACTGATCCACATAGAAGAGTGCCGAGTATTGAGATTTGATTTGCCGCATTGCAATGGTCCGCTATGGTCCTGCAGTAATATGTGTATGACAGCAAAAGGATCTTCAAATCAGTATGTACACTTAACTTATCCATTATAATTCGATATATTATATGAGATAACTTGAACATCTTTAGAAACTAGTGTGAAAAAAATATAGCAGCCAAATCGCATTACAATACTATTACGTGTGGATTTTCATATGCACGTTCCCAGACGCTACAAACTTGATCAGAGCCGAAAGCAAGGAAATGCACATCATAGTTGCAATGACGCTAGGAGAAGCCTCTCCACATCTGCATGTTGAGAGACTTGAGCTATTAATTTTGCAGGCACTCCACACAAGCACATGCATGTTAAGTGAGGGTATACGTTATCATTTTGGGTATGATCGAATGGAAATACCTGTTCATGTCATCCTCTGATTCACTGATCCAAATCATCCTGCAAAGCTCATGCATAATGGTTTAGGAAATAAGGTATAGATGCTCAAAGGACAAGATTGATAGCTAACAAATAGTTGATGCTTACAATTAGCCTGTGGTCTCCTCCTCCAACATGTGTTTCCTGTTTGAGCGTTGTGAAAGGTCAGGAGGTCCAGGCAGGTCAAGGCGATGGCAACCTTTGACTTTGGAAATGCAAACCCCCTCTCGGTGGCCCTCTCCACAACATCATCCAACATATTGACGTTTAGCTGACAGAAAGGAACTATACACATTTAGCTAGGAAATCTAGGAACAAGAAAATAGACCGGTCGGCATGTATGATTAAGGATAAAGAATGCACTAACTTTCAAACTGTTTTGATGCCTGACCACATATATTGTCAACATGGAAATTCTGGTTTCTGAAATCAGTTTCCTTGCTGAGTAGAACACCTATTATGAAATTTGTTTGTTCTAGAGCCGAGTGCAGACATCACTTTTGTTAACCGTGATGCTATAATACTCGGGAAAATTGTGTTATTAGGAAATTGGTCAAGGCATATAGCTCCATCTATGCTCCCATAGACATAAGATGATGAGACTATTATAAACAAATTCATCTTGTTTTCTGCAGTTCTGAAATCTGTAATGCAATGTTTCACTTGTTTGGTCCTCTCTTTTTCATACGATGTTCTTGGTTTGTGTCTTCGACAATGCATAGACAGTAAACTGCATGCATTACAACCTTAGATTAGTAAGTTGTAACTTTTGCAGCCAATAAAAATATAGGTAATTAACGCAATCAACCTTAGATTAGATGTTTTGTATGTGTCATCAATGCACGCACTCACTGGATTATTACTTATTTTGGCCTACAAACTGTTGTTTAAATGTTTATCATGCATCCATCTTCCATTATAATTCTGGCAATCCTTTGCTCCCTTCATTTTAACTAAACCTTTTCTTCAGATCTGTGAAAGCCATATAATTTGCATGCTCCAATTTTAATTTTAACTATAATGGAACAGGTTACTTTTCTGGTTTCATTTTAACTATCATGGAACAAGTTACTTTTCTGGTTTAGTGTATCTTTTTGCTTCTACCTTGAACTAAGCGCAATTGCTTTATTATAAACAATTGATCCAAAATGCATAGTGCATCTTATTGTTCGGCGAAAAACTTTCCTGGTCGACACTATAGCTAAACCATCTTTTCACAAAATCCTGCTATTCTCTCTGTACATTTGCTTCACTTATTTTGTTGTCTTAGTTTGATAATTCGGTTATGGTTGAAAAATGTAAAAAGATTAGTGTCCTGTTTATTGTGTTTCCGTGTGAACTTGTTCTGAACAGCACGTGCTGAACCTTATGGTTTGCAGTTTTGTCAGAGATATGTTTTGCTAGGCTGGAGGCTTGTGAGATCTTCAGATTATCCTAATTGCTTCTACATAGAAGGTGCAGCCGTCGCATGGTTCCAAATGTCTCATTGATCCAAAATGCATAGTGCATCTATTTGCTTTCCTGGTTGACACTATAGCTAAACCATTGCTTCACGAAATCATGCTATGCTCTCTGTACATTTGCTTCACTTATTATGTTTGGTCAATTTGTTATTTCGGTTATGGTTGAAAAATGCAAAAAGATTAGCTGTTTTACTTATTCTGAACCTTACGTGCTGTTGTTTTACTTTGCAGTTTTGGTTGGCTGATAGCTTGCAAGATCTTCATATTCTACATAGAAGGTGCAGTGTGATGTGATGCATATGGAACTGGTATTACTTTGCAGTATGGAACTGGCGGTGGGTGTATGAAATGTGATGGCTGTAACATTATACCTAATTTCTTATCAGTTCATGATATGGCTGTTTGAAATGTGATACCTGGATGTGAGTGTCTCTGGCGCGGGATCCTGGACGCCTCCGGCGGCGGCTGGTGAAAGGGATAGACGGATCCTGGACATCTTCGGCGACGGGTCCTGAAAGGGATCGGCGCCGGATCCTGGAAGCGTTCGGCTGAGGGTCCTCAACTGGACATGCACCGGATCAGTGGAGGCCGGATCAGTGGAGACCAGCGGCGGATCAGTGCCAGGGCGGCGGCGAAGGGATGGAGCGGCGGCGGTGAAGGGATGAAGAGCGGCGGCGGGCGAATGAGGGCACAGACTCGGTCGTCTGTTTCTCGCTCGAGGGCACGAGACCTCGCTCGTACGTGCGGGGGATTGGTTTGTGATTTATTTTCGCTGGTTAATTTTCGCCGGGTTTTTCTCGCTGGTTAATTTTCGCCGGTTTGTTCGTGTCAGATGGGTGTGAAGGGAGGTTAGGCGCGTGGGGGCGGATGTGGGACTCGGCCCTGAGGGTTTTTCTTGGTTCATCGCGGCTGAGCGGGAGGTGGGAGCAGGTACCAAAAAAACCGGGTGAGGTGGGACGAAAGTTAAACCCGGAATGCGACCTACCAACTGAGATATTAGGAGTAGAGATTGCGCTGTCCTTTCCAATTACTTCTGTTGTCTTACTCTTATCATTAAACCCCCACTACACCTAAATTCTCGGGCTTGTGATGATTGAACTCTTTTTAAGGGGTGGTGCACACTACACAGACTGATTCCTTCTATAGCATTTTTGTTAGACAAATTCTTTATAAAGCAAATGGTCTACACACTTTTTTTGTGGTTGAGAAAATGGTGTACACAATTTTTTTGAGAGTTTGGTATACACACTAATACATCGCTCTCCGTGGGATGGGCCCGGCTCCTCGCTTGCTCAATTACTTCATGGGCCAGCGCCCAGCCTGCCCTGTCCCTTCCTTTCCAATTCGGGAGCTCTTCGCCCACTGCGCCAAGATGCCCCTGTAGCGCTTGCTAGATAGCTCGTGGGCCACGGCCCAGCCTGTGCCCTCGCTCGGCCGCCTTCCCGGGCGTGCCTATGCCTCTATTTAAAAAAAAAGCTAGAAGCGAGAGCAACTAATAAGTGTACCCCTTGCAGGAGCCTCGCAATGGTCACTTTTGGTGGTAAGAGCATGTCATTTGGCGTGCTCTCAGCCACCGTCACGTGTCGCGTGTTGGGCTCTCCATCGGAATGGTTTTTTCTTTGTTTTCATATGCATTTTTGGGGTTTAGATGATTTTTTCCGTGTTCTTTCGTATTTTGGTTTTTCCTAGATTTTGAAGAAAAAAATTGATTCTTTTTTGCTTGAAATAAACGTGTTTTCTTTTGCTTCCACGAGCGGCATAGTTGTGTTTCTTTGAAAAGAAAAGACACATGTATTTTTTTGCTTCCACGGGAGGCACAGAGTTGCTTCGTGTGAAGATACAGATTTGCATCCGCAAGAGGCTGAAAGCGCAACCAATCCCCGGATGGTTTTGGTAATTCATAACAATATATATCTCATTGAACTAATATCCATTCAAGATAAATATTTCAGGATGTTCAATGTTTGGCATGGTATGGAATAGAGATGTAGACCCCTGAAAATGATAAGGACAAAGATTGGCAAAAGCTCAAGGCTTTACATTTGAAATTACCTCATCATGGCCGGCTCGACTAGCCTCAGCATTATCCTGAGAAGAAGGGGCGTCAGCCAATTGAATAAAAAGAAGGCTAAGCGAGTCAAGTTCTGCCTCCGGCTCATTTTCACCGACTAGCTCATCTGCATTGACCGGCTCATTCTCTTGAGGAACTAGGGCAGGGGTAGACTTGCGAGGTTTCTTCTTTTTCCAAAACTTGTCGTCTACCTGCATACATGATAAGTCGGAAATTAAGATTGAGATGAACAAGTCAAACATAGAATGAATAAGAAAGTGCAAGGATACATACTGGAGGCAGAGGATTTGTTATGCAGAAGGGAGCCAGCCCAGTCTTGTTACATTTTTCCTGGGGCTCTCCTAGCAACTTCTTCGTAGCCTTGTTGATTTCACCAACATACAAGTTAACTTGACTGAATCGTCGCGCATCCGCCGGCTCACCGGTATAGTTACACATCAAATCACCTCTCAGGCTAAGGGGCTGGATGCGCCAGCTTATCCAGCACCAGGTCAAGTCAATCCCGGTGAGCCCATTGGCTATCAAGGCCCTCAGTTTTGAATATACAGGCGCGACTTGTTGTCACTCTTCATCAGACGGTCAATCCAGAAAGGCCACCATTGCGTTGACCCAGTCCAATCTGTAAACCGGCAAGGGGTTTTCGCCTTCAAGAGGCGGTGTTCTTGCAGTAGAACCAAGTTCTGTTCCATCCCTTCGGATGACTCGCTAGCCCGGCCTTTGGAGAAAGGATTGTTTTTCGCCTCTGAATGGAAATCCCACCAAGTTCTATACTAGGACTATCTGTGAACTCGGTCTGGTGGTTGATGTAGAAAAATTCCCGTAAGAGAGGGACAATTGGCTCCATATGAAGATAGACTTCACAGAAAAGTTGAAATTGGCAAAGATTGGTCATTGAGTTTGGACCAATATCCCAAGGGCAGAGATCAAAGAAATTGAGGAATCCCGGAAGAATTTTGACCCGGGTGGTGAGAAGCCCCTTTGGAGATGATATGTGAAAACAATGATTTCTCCTTGGTCGGGATGGGGAGAACTCTCTTCATCAGGTGCCTGCCAGCTGATTATTTCTTGAGCTGGCAATAGGCCTTGTCCCACGAGGTCGGCAAGCACAAGGGTAGAAACTTGGGATCTGACCCAGTTGCAAGCCTTATCAGTTTTTGCCATGATGAGTCGCCTAAAGTTGAAACTGTGAAATGAAACAATGATGATAAACAGGCATCTTATAGTCATAAGCAATAAATCGCCAGGTTTATTCAAGTTATAAGTCGGTAAAATAATGAGACTGCTACAATCAGGAATGAGCTGACACATATGGCCATAAGCGGTAAGTCGCCAAGCTTCTCAAAGTGATAAGTCGGCAAGGCAAAGGGCAGTTATATCCATTCAAACTGGCCATCAAGTTTTAGTGAGTTACAACAAGTAATGATGAGCCAACAAATCATAAAGCCAACTCTAGCTATTCGAATGCCTCGTGGGTTTTTCTACTAAGTGTTGGCTATAAACAAGATTCTGATAAAGCAGTTACAATTACAGATTTACAAAATAGTTCGAAAAGGAAATATTTACTAGACCTAAAACAAGAAATGGAAGTATGAACTTGTCCATCAGTGGGGTTCGAGAGCAATATGGAGATTTCAGATGCGAAAATGGCGGTGAGGCCGCAACTAGAGCACTTTCACAGTTTGCTAAAAGGAATCTAGATCGGCTAAGAATGGTGGTAAGCACCGATGAACTACGACGAACTACACAAGAGGATGAATGCTACAAATCTAATGAGGAAGATCTGAGCATACCTAGTTGCAGCGGAGAGTGGCCGGAGTTTTTCGGCGAGCTCTGGTGACGCCGAGGTCGTAGACGAGATGGTCGTCGAACCTGAAGTGATGCGGCGTGGCTTTGGGTGCGACGGAGCTCGGGCGCGAGGAAGAAGACGACCGAAGGATTGCTACTTCTTGAGCTTTCATTGATTTTTCCCTTGAAGAAAGGATGATGCAGCAAAGTAGAGATAAGTATTTCCCTAAGTTAAGAACCAAGGTATCAATCGATTAGGAGGCACAAGCAAGTCCCCAATATATGCAACTGCACAAACTGACAAACACTTGCACTCAACGTGAAAAAGGGGTTGTCAATCCCTTCAAGGTCACTTGCAAGAGTGTGATCTAATAGAGATAGATATAAAAGATAAGTAAAAGGAAAAATAAAATAAATATAAATAAATTGCAGCAAGGTATTTTTGGTTTTTTTATAGATCTGAAAATATATGGTAGAAAATAGACCCCGGGGCCATAGGTTTCACTAGTGGCTTCTCTCTTAAAGAAAGCATACGACAGGTAAACAAATTATTGATGAGCAATTGATAGAAAAGTGCAAAGTTATGACGATGTCTAAGGAAATGATCATGAATATAGGCATCATGTCCGTGACAAGTAGACCGACTCCTGCCTATATCTAATAGTATTACTCCACATATCGACTGCTGTCCAGCATGCATCTAGAGTATTAAGTTCATAAGAATGGAGTAACACCTTAAGCAAGATGACATGATGTAGAGGGATAGATCCAATCAATATGGTAAAAAACCCATCTTTTTATCCTTAATGGCAACAATACAATACGTGCCTCACTACCCCTACTGTCACTGGGTGAGGACACCGCAAGATTGAACCCATCACAAATCACCTCTCCCATTGCAAGAAAAACCAATCTAGTAGGCCAAACCAAATTGATAGATCATAGAGAAATACAAAGCTATCTTAATCATGCATAAAAGAGTTCATAAAAAAATCAAATAATATTCATAGATAATCTGATCAGAAGTCACAATTCATCGGATCTCAACAAACGCACCGCAAAACAAGATTCCATCGAATAGATCTCCAAAAACACCGAGGAGAACATTGTATTGAAGATCAAAGAGAGAGAATAAGCCATTTAGCTAGTAGTTATGGACCCTTATGCCCGTGGTAAACTACTCACACATCATCGAAAGGGCACCAAGGTTGGTGTAGAGGCCCTTCGTGATCGAACCCCCCCTCCGGCGGAGTGCCGTAAAAGGCCCCAAGATGGGATCTCACGAGAACAGAAGCTTGCGGCGGTGGAAAATTATTTTTGGTGTGCCCCCTGACATAAGGGGAATATTTGGGAATTTATAGTGCTGGAGTTAGGGTTAGGAGAGTCACGAGGGGCCCACAAGCCTAGGGGCGTGCCCGCGCCCCTAGGGCTTGTGGCCTCCTCGTGGGTCTTCTGGCCTCCTCCCTAAGCTTCCTAGGTGTCTTGTTGTCTAAGAAAAATCGTCAAAAAGTTTCATTCCATTTGGTATTGATTTTCTGTAAAAGACAAAAGCAAGGAAAAAACAAGAACTGGCATCAGACGCTAGGTTAACAGGTTAGTCCCCAAAATAATATAAAATATAATATTAATGCATATAAAACATCCAAAACAGATAATAAAATAGCATGGAATGATAAAAAATTATAGATACATTGGAGATGTATCAAGCATCCCAAGCTTAATTCATGCTCTCTTCGCGTAGGTAAATGATAAAAACAGAATTTTTGATGTGGAATGCTACCTAACATATTTATCAATGCAATTCTTCTTATGGTGGCATGAATGTTCAGATCCATAAGATTCAAAACAAAAGTTTAATATTGACATAAAAATAATAATACTTCAAGCATACTAATAAAGCAATCATGTCTTCTCAAAATATCATGGCTAAAGAAAGTTATCCCTGCAAAATGATAAAGTCTTGTCATGCTCTATCTTCATCACACAAAATATTTATCATGCACAACCCTGATGAGAAGCCAAACAATTGTTCATACATTTAATGTTCTCAAGCTTTTTAACCTTTCACGCAATACATGAGCGTGAGCCATGGATATAACACTATAGGTGGAATAGAATATGGTGGAGGTTGTGAGGAGAAGACAAAAGGGGAGAAAGCCTCACATTAACTAGGCAAATTAATGGGCTATGGAGATGACCATCAATTGATATCGATGCA